CTGAATTCTGCGGAACAACACAACATCACATATCAAGCCTGTCTCCTACAGTCGCAGTTTGAGACAATTCGAAAAACATTGGAAATTGAAACAAAACCACAGCAAAGGTACTGAGGACATGAACAGCAGCAAAATGTACTTAGCCTTTGAAAAGTAAAAGCATTGATTGTGCAGTAAAATGTTCCCTATATACCTCTCTGGATTAAGTACAAGTACCTCAAAATTTCACATAAGTACAGTACTTGAATAGATGCACTTGCTACGTTCCACCACTGATCAATGCATGTTGGTGACAGCATCAATCAGTGAACAGTGAACAGTGTACTTACTGGTTTGTTCTTGCATTCCTTTTTTCACTATGAAAAAAAAAAGGAAGAATAAAGTGTCACCTCTGTGTCACAGTTTATCAGGATCAATCAAAAGCTTTGAGTATTTGCTTAAAGGGTCAGTTCACCCACATAACGTCCTCCTCACCCCTCCTGGAAATCCACTGCATCGGCTGCATGAATGTCCACAAGGGGCAAGTGGGGGAAAATGTTTTGTAAAATGGCCGAATTGACTTTTTAATTTTTTATTCAGTAGATTCAAGACGGATGCATACACTCCCTCTCGTCTGCCAAACATGATGTAGGACAGCAGCAGACAGAGGATGATGGCGAGGATCAGGGGCACGATCACCGTCACGATGTAGTCCGGGAAGAAGTCTCTGCTCGGGGGGGACTCGGGAGGGTTGAAGTCACCGCCGTCCTCCAGAATCCCCGAACCCATCGTGGGAGCAGGTGGAGCCGGCTGCCGCTTCGTCAGATCGAACTGAAGGGAGGAAGAAGGGAAAGTGATTGTTGTTGGGATTAATCGTAAACTATTTTGATCTTCGGTTAATCGTTAAAGTCAGTTTTTAGAGAAAAAATGTCAAACATTGTCAAATGAGAATTTGCTGTTTTTCGTGGCCGTACATGAATTGAAGGTCTTTGGGTTTTGGAAAACAAGACTTTTAATGACGTCAACTTGTGCTCTCAGATAATGTAATGGGTGGTTTTCACTGTTGTCTGGTGTTTTACAGACCAAACAATTATTCAATTATAAAAACCACCATTAGTTGCAGCCCTAACCTAAGTTTAGGACTCCTCCAGTGGGCCTCAAGATAAATTGAGAGATAATGAATAGGATAAGAAAAATAATAAATACAATAAGCATATAATTATACTGTTTTCTTTCTATAATTTGTTTTTTTTCTTGTGAAATACTGGAGAGATTTACATCTTTAGGCCTTTAGAAATGCTAAAATATTCAAATAAGACAATCTGAAAATCCTATTTGTTGATTTTAAACATTTTACTGGCGTCACAAGTTGACACATCTTTGAATTGCTTGTCGTTCTCTCATAAACTGTGAAAATAAATGATATTGAATTTACAATTTGATAAGACAGACAAAATGAAAAATCAGTTTAATCAGATTGAATATAGCAAATTTCCCCACTGTGGGACTGATTTAGCATAATATTTAAAAAAAAATCGAAGATAGATGGACTTTTGCATACAAGTCTTACATGTAAAGTTACTAAACAAACAGATGATCATATATTTTCCTTTCCAGGCCTCACCAGCTCCGTCTTGCACCAGGTGATACAGTTGCTGGGAATGCTGCAGAAGTTACAGCCTCCTGGCACCTTGACTTTGTCCCCGGCTCTGCACTGCTTTTGATGCTCTGGTGTCGTCACCCTCAGGAGACAATCTGAGAAATACTGCTCCGACCCCACCTTCACGTACACACTGACACAAAATCAGACGTCCATGAACACGCAGTCGCTCCAGAGCTTAAACTGACAGCATCTCACGTCTCTGTGTTTACCCTTCAAAGTGTCCCGCAAGAGGGAGGGGAACTCTGCCGCCTCGGTCGAGGGCATTGGTGATATTGACGATTTCCAAGGCCTCTGTGTCCCACAGGTTCTGCACATCCTGCTTTATCTCGTCCTGAACAGAAGAGGGCAGCACCTTCTCAATCTCCCTCAGCTTGAGGAAGAACTCCGCTTGATAGGGCAGCATCTTCTCTGTGAGGGACAGCAGGGACTTTACTGTTGCACTCCCTGATTTAACTGCACTTGCATTTGTGATGTAATCTAAATGAATCGTACCCGCAGTGGCTTTGATTACGAGTATGTGTCTGGCCGCTTCATAGCTCCGTTTGTTGATGGCGTAGATCTGTCAGAAGAAGGATGAAAGTTTTCATATTATTTCACTGTTTGTTTGTGATGTTTGGGGCATTCAAGGAGATGCCTGCATCTCCTGAAGTTTTTCTTTCCATCAACCCACCTTGTCTACTTCTGCATTAGTTTTCCTACATTTCCCATAATGCCTTAACCTTCTTCAGCATGTGTATTCATCTGTAAATACATCTGTAGAGTGAGGCTGAGGTATTCTGAGCGATTACGACTACAGATTTGTAACTTTTTGTCGGCACTTGTGTCATTTTTGTATGTATTTTTGGTTCGCTTTATACTTTCTAAATTGGCAAAAAAATGAGAAGAAGAAGAAGAAGAAAGAGGATAGCATGCATGTGAGGTAAGGACAGTTTAAATGGTGCTAAGCAAAGACAAAAATCAAAAATGAACCAAAGTCAACCTGGACTCCAGACGGTAAAGGCTGTAGTTTGTTAATATAAAGAGTGTTTATAATCAGAAGTGGATCTGTAATCTGTGGTTCCATCCCAAATGTAACATGTTTTTCAGCTCTAATACATTCTGTTTGATTGAGATAAAAGTGCCACTTATCTCTTCTTCAAAGACATGTTTCTTCCTGCATTTTTAATGTTGGTTCAAAATGACAGCGTTGGAGAAAACCCCCAAAACCTTTTCTCTTGAGGGTCTGACAGCAGGACCTGACATTTACCACCGATGTGTCAGAAAGCTGCATGTTTTTCAGATTGGTCTCCACTAATCATATTTATGTTTGGCCCATTATCAAAAGGCAATATAGGTATATATACAGCCAAATGAGGCCATAAATGTCACGTGCAGCATGCTGACAGTTTTTCATGATCACTTCATACCTCAATTACACTTTTTCCTGCAGACATTGGCGTGCCGTACAGGAAGCCATTATCGTAGGGGTGCCTCTGGGTGAAGCGCAGCCACTCCGGGAGGTCTGGAAAAGTCTGCCGGTTGCACTTAAAAATCATGGGGTCATCATACAAGCGGCCAGCTTTATACAGAGGAGTAAAGAGATATCAAAAAAATAAAGCATATTTCCTGTAATATTGTCGAATAATGACAAAATAAACTATTCTTACCGTAGAGTTTAGACAAAGGTTCAAAGTCATTCTGGAAAGTCTCCCTCAGCAGCTCATATGTGAAGAACTTCCCCACAGGAATAGTGACTTTGATCTCTGCATTGGCCTCAAACAAACTGACAGCACAAACTGTGTAATAAAAACAAGAAAAAACACCAAAAGATTGATCTGAATTGTCAAACAAAACCTTAAATGTGACATTAAAATATGACAAGACACGACACGTTGAAGTCTAAGAGTTAAAGTCACACAATCCTTGGAATCAGGACCAAATGCTAATAACACCAGACCTGGTATTGAAAACAGGCTTTGCAGAGGTGTCATTATACGCAAAGTTAAATTGTTTTTTAGGAATAAAACTCGCCTGTAAGATAGAAGACCCAGCTCCGGCAGCCTGCCATCTTGTTTCGGCCTGTGATTGACAGAGCCAAGCGGAGAGGGGCTCAGTCACAGCCAAAGACATGTCAGAGCTATTTTTAACTCGCTCACCTCATAGTATCCGGGGGCGTCTGTGAATGTGTGAGTGGGGGGTAAATAAAGATATGGTGATATAAAATACTACACTGAGTTACTTTATAGGGATGGTTTTTACATGCTGAAAGAAACTAAGTAGCAGTATACTTTTGAGGTACTTCATTTGAGAATTTTCAGCTTCTTTAAACTTCTACTATTACATTTCAAAGGAAAATACTTTTTAATCCAATAAATTCATCTGATGGCTACAGTTTGTAGGTGTAACTACTACCTTACTGAAAAGTGCATCCAGTTTGACAGCCCTTCCGTCTTTTCAGGGAATACTCCTGCAGTTATGTCCTTCAGACTGTCAACTGCTGTGAGATAAATAATAAGATAAAAGGAAAAGTGGAAGGACAGTTATGAAATTAAATCTCTCATGGTGTTCTCAATGTGTTAAACAACAACATCAGTGTGTTGTGGCCTTGTACTTAAATAAGGCCCTCATACAAAAATCATAAACCAAAAACGGAAACTCTTTGTCTGCCTTCAGTGATAATGTTTAGTTTAGCACAGATGTGTCCTGCAAATGACAGATGTGTAATTGGCTGCAGAGGTTTGACGTGAATGAGGTCTCACTGGGTCCTAATGCTAGTCGCGTTCTCTGACAGACACGCAGACACTTTGGCGGTTTGACATTCATTGTTGTCAGAAGACTTCTCAAGGACTGGTGGGTGATAAACTATTTACTCTTCAATTTCTCATAACAGGGTTTTATAGATGTGTTTGACAATATCCATATGATATATAATTATTATATATCAATATACCTTATATAACCATTGAGCTAAACACCAACTGTTGTAATTTTAACAATCTGATGTATTAACTTTGACCTATTTCAACGATTATTCATTATTTTTAGCTAACATTTACAATTGTTTGTCCTTTATTATTTGGCTGTTTCTATTTTTTTTTATTAGTTAAGTTGGGCCTACATTCTATTTTCCATGTAACAGTTACCGTATTTACTTTACTTCTATTGATTTAGTATGTTTTATATATAAGAAGTGAAACAAAAGTCACTTCCCATCAGTCACTCAAACACATTATTGTAAATAAACTTCTGATAAGCATAGAAAATTATATTATATGCAGTAAATTGCCCAGAACAGACTGCTATCCTCACAAACACACTCTAGAATTTAAAGGGCGCTAGGACCCAGCGGCTTCCTCCTCCATGCAGCAGCACTCTGCCGCTGCGAGAGGAGGACCAGAAATCTGCAGCTCACAGAGGGAAGAGATCAAAATGATGCTGCCTGTAAAAAGGGATTAAACGTAAGCAATCTGTCGTCAGCTGCGGTAAATCCGCAGCTCAATACCGTTCTACTTTTCTGTGCAAATATTATTATTTTTGAATGACTAATGCAATTATCTGTGAGGGTTAGGTTTGCATTGTAGCAACTGCAAGCCAGCTAATGACAGATGCATCGTGCTCACTTTCTCCGTTGCATTGGACGGGGATTGCAGCGGATGCAAGCAGGCCTTTAATACGATCTGTTGTTTTTGTTTCTCCCTATCTGCCGGTCTAGTCTGGGCGCCACCTCGCTTGGATCGGCTGCTGCTGGTTGGATAATACCGATTTGGCACCCGGGCGTTGAGAAAGGAAACATGCCGTCGCTGAGCATCCGTTGCGACGCTTGACTCAACATGATGAAGACCGAATCCACATCCAAGAGCACCGGCTCTGGCTCCACGCTCAGGAGCCCATCCCCGCACAGGAACGCGTACGAAGCGGGGATGCAGGCCCTGAAGCCCGTCAAAGACAATGCCGCCAACGGGGACCTGCAGGATGGCCCCCGAGGGCGCAGGTACGGCTCCAACGTGCACCGTATCAAGAACATGTTCCAGCAGATGCAGACCACATCCCCGGCCGATGCGGAGGGAGAGGAATGCACCAGGAACCCCGAGAAATCGGTGCGCCTCTCTCTCCCTAGAGCCGGGAGCCTGAACGAGAACGTGGACCACAGCGCGTTGCTGAAGCTGGGATCCACCGTGTCCGAGCGCGTGAGCAAATTCGACATCACCAAACCGGAGAACGGGCACCCGCGGGCCTCGTCGCCTAGCTTCTCCAAGCTGCAGGAGACCCGCCGCATCTTCGAGCAGCAGCAGGAGAGGCAGCAGCAGGAGGAGAAGCTGGAGAGGCAGCAGCAGGAGGAGGAGAGGCAGCAGGAGGAGGAGAGGCAGCAGGAGGAGGAGGAGAGGCAGCAGCAGGAGGAGGAGAAGCAGCAGGAGATCCAGCAGCAGCATGAGAAGCTGGCCACCACCAGGGTTCTCCTGAAGACTGACAAGGCCTCAAGCTTCCAGGAGAGCAGGTTGGACGTGATGGCTCGTTTCAACGGCAGCACAGAGTCCCTGGACAGCCTGGACACCAGCGAGGCCGTGTCCCCTACGGTCAGCCAGCTCAGTGCCGTGTTTGAACGGGCGGCCGAGCTCCGGAACAACCTCCACCGCCTCTCCTCGACCCCACCGCTGCCCTCCAGGGGGGTCAGCGCCAAGGTGGGTGTGTTGAACTCCAAAATAATCACAAAGAGGGTTTGTGCCTTTGCAGCGGGCAACCAGGACGAAGATATTAGCAATCAGATGGGCCAAGAGGGGCCTCCGAGGGGCCCCAGGGCGAGGATGGCTCCTCCGTCTGAAAGCTTTAATGGGGACCAAAACCCCCCAGATACTGAACTTTACAGTACTGCAGGAGAGCCAAATGAGCAGAGAGAAAAGACAGTGTCAGATGCAGGTGTTGAGGTCAAACCTGAGGAACACTATGGGGCCAAGGGGCCCAACAGCACAACACTGCAAGGTGACATCCACATCTCTGTGGAGAACGGAGACACCGCTGCCCAGAAGAAGAGCTCTCCAAAGGGTGGCGACATGGCCAGGGACGCTGGGGACGAAGACCGGACTCTCAGAGACGACCAGTCGGGGCGCGACTCTGTGGATATCAGTACCTACAGCGCGGTGGGGGAGGACTTTGGAGGAAGCCAGGTGGACGAGGAGGAAGACGAGGTCGATGACAGCTATGAGGCCGAGTCCAGCTGTGCGGAGATCTCTGGGCTGCCTGTGGAGGAGGACCCGCCCCCCTCCAGGAAGATCCGCTTCAGCACAGAGCCCATCAAGGTGAGGAAACATGCAGTGGAAAAAACACATAGGATTAATGCTAAACTGTAGGTAGTACACCCAGAGCTTTGTCCAATTAGGCTGAGGTGCTGATTTGTGATTATGTCCATAATGTGGCATGTGTTGAGAGGCTGGTTCATTTTGACCTTAAAGCTTATCTACCGTGGTACAGACTCAGTCAGCACCACTGTCAGCTGTTTTAATGAACTCACTCAGCTTCTACCGGTGTCAGAATGATGCTGACATTTTGATTTTACCCTGTTTCAACACGGGGCTTTGCACACACTACTAACACCTCACTACCCCCCCCTCCCCTTCCACAGTAGCCAGTTGCTAATGGACGGTCCTGCATTCCTACTGTGCAGCTGACACGGGCCCCCAAAAAGATCTGCGATGTAGATACTTATCTGAAGCGCAGTGGGAGCTGCTTCTGTAAATAATTGCTGGGGGAGGAGGAACAAAGAGGCCTGGATAATTAGTCCTGTTTTTAGAGAAGTGGACACTCTGCTGCTGCGGTGGCCAATGAAAGGTCGGCGGACAGTCTATGGGGGAGCTTGGTGAGGAATGGAGTGTTTTTTGTGTGTGTGAGAAAGAGAGGGAGGACGTGAGAAATGAGACACTCTTGGATCAGTGAGATGAGAGAGGAGGAGGAGGAGGAGGAGGAGGAGGAGGTAGAGTTGATTTAAAGTGCCTCTCTGTGTCTGGGGGTTGTGTAATGATCTGGAGAGGAGCATCAGATATCCTCTCCAGCTCGGTCTCGCTGCTCTGCCTCGAGGTCTGAGGCGTACAGAGACTCTGCCAGCCGAGGTGGGCACTGACGCTGCACATCACACACGATCCCTCACGCAGAAAGCCATTTCAGTGACGAAGGGCTCCTGTGCCACATCATGACCAGTCAAGTCGAAAGTTGCTCTCGCTCTCTTCTCATGGCTGCACATCGGCGAGTAGTGGTGACTCACTAAAGCTTGATATAATGTTATTATATAGGCTCTGTCTTTTTTCCACAAACCTTTAAACGTAAACACTTTAGGCAACAATCCCTCTTGTTTGTCTCTAAAAAAATATTTGAAAAAAGTCAAGATGATTTAGAGCTGTAGAGTTTAAATGAGTAGTTCAACATTTTGGTATATATGCTTATTTGCTTTCTTGCCAGGTTTATAGATGTATTGTAAATATGAAGCTACAGTTAAAAGCTGGTTAGCTTAGCTTAGCACAATGACTGGAAACAGGGGGAAACAGCTAGCCTGGCCTCGTCCAAAGATAAGAAGATCCGTCTCATCAGTGCCTCTAAACGGGCATTTCCTTAAATGTTAAACTAGTCCTTTCAATATCTTACGAACTAAAATGATAGTAATGGTATAGTAGTGGTTCCACTGAGTAGTATGCAAATACTGACATATATGTGGTGAGCCAGTATTAGGCTCCAATATCCACCCAACCTGGATGCAAGCAAGAAGTTTCCACCTTGTTGAAAATCCCATGAATCCCATATAAATTACACCCGAGCTCAGTATGTCCATCACGCAATTAACTGTGAAGTAGGAAGAAAAAGACAAAAGCAGACTTCTATCACATCATTTTATCCGCATGAGATTAATAGCAAGAGGAAGCATTATATACGGTGTCTTAAAGAAGTCTTAACTCACAAGCTTTGGTAAAAAACAAAGGCTGAATTTGGTTGTGACCCTGCGGCCGTCATCGGAGAATAACCTCCGACTGAGTCCTTTCACACTGTATCAGTGTGGCCTTTGTTATGGAGATTGATGCAGGGGTAGATGAGAGTTGATGGGGGGGGGGTGGCGAGGTCAAATGGGAGGGACGTTATTATGCTGCTCAAATGTCATGCGACTGTATTACTGACAGCTCTGAAGTCACAGTGTCAGTTGGTTTCTCTTCCAAAAGAGGAAGTAACCATTTTTAGTGCATATTTCCCTGTGCAACAATTCAGCCCTCGGCCACAATTAAGTCTTGTTGTTGTGGTGGTAGCGGTGGGACATCAGGGCGCATGTCTTTTTCTTTGTCCCTGTTTTACATCACACACTCCTGTCTGTCTGTCTGTCTGTCTGTTTGTCTGTCTGTCTCTGTCCTCTCACACTGGCAAAACAAAAATAGCAGTTGTGCTCCGGGTAGAGTTCACACTAGAGTCTTTGTTTTGCTCCTCCTGACACTCTCTCTCGCTGCTTCTTTTCTCCCTCTCGCTCTTTGTCACCAGTCTCCTACTGTTAGTAAAAATAGCCGCATTGTTATCGTCGCAGAATTGCCTTCGCTTTTCAGGGCCGCGCGTCTTTGTCGAACACAGGAAGCTGCCCCTCGTGTCTTATTTATTCGGTGTCGCTTGTTTGTTTTAGCTTCATTCTGTATCACTCGGTATCAACACTAGTAGCTCATGGTGTAGCCTCCTGTGATTTTTTTTTAAATTATTTATTCTATTGTTGGAGGAAAGCTTTAAAAAAAAAAAAAAAGCGTAAAATCAGATCATCTCCACTGGATTTGCGCTGTGTTGCCTCCAAACCAGAATAATCTGATTTATTTTGCATGCACCAGAATCACCTTGCTCAGTCATCGCCTAGTCTTTCACTTTTCTGTTTTTAAATCTCCCAACACACGCTATCTCGTGCATTCCTGCTGCCTACGCAAGTCCTCCCAGCCTGCTCCAAGAACACCTATGATTTTGTTTCGCACTGTATCATTAACACACACAAACTGTTCTCATATTATAATAATCCGAGGGGTGTTGAGTTCGACAAACGCAGGAAGAGGAATTGCATTTTTTTGAGTACGCTGCCGCAAATTGCAAAATGGAGAGTGCCCAAAATGCAGCCATCGGTGGTTTGTGTTTACCGCTCAGGGATTGCCCAGGGAGAGGTAATACATCCCCATGTGTCAAGTTATCCTCTAACTGTCTATTACTTAGACTGCAGTATTTCATACAGCGCATTACTCACAGCCAGGAGGGGTGAGAGACCAGACAGATTATGAGCAAGGTCACTCTGCCCCACTTCTCGGTCCTGCAGTGGTGCTGGGTCAGGATGTGCCACCTCGCTCATGTTGTCTGAGCGCTGTTGTGTCTTTTCAAGCTGTTTGTATACATCTTCCTTCAGTCTTTCCAGTCCTAAATATTGCATTTGTTTTGTGCTCAAAAGAAACTACAGTGTAATGAAGGAACATGTCACCTGGTGTGGCTCACTCGTGTGTTTTTAAATGTTTTTGCACAATAATGGAGGTCTATGACACAGAGAGATAAACTATAGACTTTGTTAATTTTTTACTAGATTTGTTGACAATAGGAAAAAATACCAGACATCATCAGCCTCATCCTTTAAAATCACAGCAACACTAGAAACATGTAAAGGAAAAGACAGTTAGGAAGGTATGAATACAAATAACTATGCAAAATAACATTCAATTGTATTAAGTAAGAAAGAAATACAATACATCTTCTGATTTTCTAGATCTGTGTACATGATTGTGACTATGTGCAAAGCAATATAACATGTAAACCTACAGGATATTAAATATAGAAAATAAATGCTTTATTGGGTTAGTACAGACACTCACTGCAGTCAAACTAAATATAACCAATTGTATGTGCGTCTATAAAGAATATAGATAAACTATAACAATAATGAAACTAACATTAAACGATCAACATAATGTAGTTCTATAGCTGCTGTAGCCTTCGTGCTGTTCAGTCGCCCGCCGCTGACCTTGTTCTCATGCTGCCGTGTTTCTCCTCGGGGTCGGCGAACGCTAAGCCTAAACAAGACTGCTGACCGACGGCTGGCCTGCCAAAAACAGGACAGCCGCTACCGTGACAAACCTACGATATCATTGGCTGGAGGAGAGTCAGCCAGGACCACATCCTTATTTTCCGCCTGTGTGTTGCACATCTGGGATCTGGATTAACCCCCCACTTTAAGGAGGATTTAGAAGCAATTACCTGCCACTTCTGGACTTGTTTAACCTGCGGCGGTTGGGAGAGCATTTCATAATGGTGTAATTAAACCGTTAAGTGGAAAAGTGCTTCTCTTGGTCTGCGTATGCTTAACTTTGACAGCTTCATAAAGCATGCCACAAGCATTTCTGACCCCAAGAAGAAGTGGAGTAATTGCATCAACGAGGCACCAGATCTTATGCATGGTAAGCATGTTAAAAGGTAGAAAAAGGAGAGTGGCAGCGAAACCAGTTGAAATAATAGCCGGAGCACTATGAGTAATACAAAGTGATGGAAAGTCGGCTGCTACAGAACAAGGAGAGACGGAGTGGAAACGCACTATTTCTGTTGTGAAAAACCAATGGCACCGCCTCCACACATCCTATTGGCTGAATCCAAAATTAGATCTGTGTTTGGAGAGTGAAGAGGGAAAGAAGTTGACATGCTGCTGTGGGGGGAGGGGGGGCACTGACTCCCTGGGCACTGACTCCCAGGACTCCCAGGGCACTGACATATCACCACAGTGTTACCCAATCGCATTGTAGCCGAGAGGGCCGTCGAGATGTAACCACACTGCAGGGGAGCCTCCAGAGCAGCGCTATCATTTAGCCCCGTCTCTGTCACGACACTGTGAAAATGGTATTTGTGACTGGTTATTTTTAATACCCTTCACAGTCCCAAGTGGGTGCTGTGGACAGACACAAACACAAGCTGGTGAGCGGCTCTAGCTAACTGCTCACAGAGCTTTTGTAGGACATCCCAGGCGGCTGGTAGCAAAGAGAGAGGGAGGGAGGGAGGGAGTTTCCTGGCCATCTGTTAGCTTCTCTGACCTACTATCTGCCACAACTGGAACAGCGTCCTCCTCCAGCCCACACCCACCCACCCCCCCCTTCATCACCCTGCCTTTAATCCCAATGTTTGTCTTCCAAAGATAGCCACCTCATCTCTACTACTCTATCTACTTGGGTGAGGTTTGGGGTGAGAGGTTTGCATCGTGGAGGAAGTCTTTCTGCCCTGTGTGGGAACACGGCACAGACGGAGGGAGGGAAGTGAAAGAGTTAGTCGAGTATCAGAGAGGGTTGGATTGTTGCCTCGCCTGCATCATGACACCCATTCATGAACTTGCCCAAGGCTGCAGGTCACGACACACATCCGATCACGGCTGTGTGTGTTTTTTTCCAGTGCCACGTTAAACGCTGCTCCGTGTTTTATCTTCCTCTGCATCGTGGGCGTACAAAACGAGGGCACCACAAGCCACCAGCTGTGGCCTCTTGATCTCTAAACTCAAGTGGTGATGCAGAGCCACGTGACAGCGTCACAATGGGCACGCAGGCTTGGAGTGCACTGTTGTTGTTTTATTTCCCGTTACTTAGGATGCAAACAGCGTATTTTGTGTGTCTGTAATCCACATTCTGCTAATCCCTCTAAATACGAAGGTAACCTAAATCAAAAGCCATTAGACTTCAGTGCTGCTCCCACGCTATCTGTCATCTGCAGTATGGTTCAATTTGATTCACTGAATACATAGGCTGAATTAAAATCAGTTCTGCTGCACCTAATTAATGTGGATTTGCTGCTTTGTTAATGTTCTAAAAGTCGTATATAAAACTTTTAAAGAAATAGTTCAATCAAAAGGAAAAAGTGTATTTCCAAAAATGGAAAACTGGTCCTTTAACTGATTAAACGATTATAAAACAAACTTTATTTATTGAATGTAATAAGATCCCTGCACTAAAAGAATACTTTGATCCCGATAAACTCTAGCAGCATGTAATCTTCATCACTTGTGTGAGCATACAGGCATTTTAAAGCCCTTTCTTATGGGTATGTGAGGCTTTAAAGTAGAAGGAAAAGCTTGTACAGTATTCAATGAGGCATGAACATGCAATGATACTGATTACATGTGAGAGAGGAGGTTGCTGCTTATATTTCAAAGGCGCTGTCAAAACTGACAGGCTCTTTACTGGGGGGTTGCCAGGGACTCGGGGCCCATACGACCGAAGGGTTAGCATCGAAAGCTACGGGCTGCTACTTTGTAACACAGATGGACGAAGTAAACAGCAGAGAGAGAGAGAGAGAAGTGAGAGAGAGAAGTGAGAGAAAGTAAACAAAGATGTGTTAAAGTGTCGCCGCAGAGGCGAATGATTGTGAGGAGGAAAGTTGAGAATTTAGTTAAAATACATGAAGGAACGTGTGAAAAGAGAAGGTCCGGCACTGAATTAGTGTGGGTGGCTAGTGGAGCATGCAGCGTGGTGCTTATATGCATGCATAATCATCTTGGAAGACTCTCTCTGTGTGTGTGTGTGTGTGTGTGTGTGTGTGTGTGTGTGTGTGTGTGTGTGTGTGTGTGTGTGAGCAGCTGCAGAAGCCCCCCATTAGCATGCTGGATGTGGTTATGTAAACTGTCATGCTGGTGGACCAGAGTGAATGTGGGGAAACAGAGGCCTCTGTCTTCATGAGAGCAACTTCAGCGGTTTGTGATCGATTGTGTTTGATACACATTACCGCTGTGAAACGATACAGCTCGGGGCTCTGCGCGGACATGCCGTGGCCGTCTCAGCTGAAGTGGTCGATACTTTTGAATTGCATTACGTGCGTATTTACACCGGCGGTCAGTTTTTATTAAAACCATGCATCCAGCTCGTCTACCTCAGCTGCATACATCTCCACAACCTCTGAGCGTTCGGTGATGGTGTCTAGAATATTAAAGCATTTGTTAGGACACGAAACACACCCATTCTTCTGTGGTGAGTCCTTCAACTATTGCCCAGACATAATGATAGAAATTCGAAGTTGAATTGTGTTTATCATATCAATCAGCATAAGAGGATACATAGGCATTAAACTGAAAACCTGGATTTAATATTTGAACAGATATAAACTGTTTAGTTTGCAGTGGATTTGGTTTTGATCACATGTAGTCAAGACACAATCCGCTCTCTTTACACCTGTTGAAACACACACAAGTGATTCAACATGTACCACGCTCCCCGGGGTCCACAGGAAGTGGTTTGTTTTCTGTTTTCATTAGCAGTTACTATATTTGGAGTACATGCTGGAGAAGCTATGTAGTGTCACGGAACAGTGATGAGCCACAACGGCTGCAAAAAAACAAATAAGAGTCATCTACAGTTTTCAAGTCGCAGAAAGGACACACGTGGGCTAACTGGGTTAGCTCTGGGCTAACACTGAGACACCACAGAGGGGACGGTTATCACTAAAGGCGGGACTTATTTAAAGGAATAGTTTGACATTCTGTAGGCTGAATATGAAGCTACAGCCAGGAGGCAGTTAGCTTAGCTTAGCACAAAGACTGGAAACAGGGGCAAACAGCTAGCTTGGCTCCGTCCAAACCACAAACTGTTAAGTTTTTGAACAGATGAAAAGTGTTAAACAACAAACTTTTTAGGAGCTGTTAGGTGGGTCTTATACCTTTGCACAGAGGCTAGCTGTTTCCCTCCGCTGCCAGTCTTTGTGCTAAGCTAACTGTCTCCTAGTGGTAGCTTCATAGTTAACAGACAGATATAAGAGTGGGATTGATCATCTCATCTAACTCTCTGCAAAAAAACAAAACCCTGCTGCCTTCCACAGTCTGAAACAAAGAGGTTTAAGTGTTTGATCCAGTGTCTCTGGCTCCTCCTGCAGGTGTTTGCCACCTACCCCAACGAGGACTACGACCGGCGCAATGAAGACGTGGATCCCATGGCGGCGTCTGCAGAGTACGAGCTGGAGAAGAGGGTGGAGAGGCTGGACCTGTTCCCCGCGGAGCTGGAGAAAGGTACAGAACATTATGAAGCTGTCTTTTCTCAACGTGCACAGTATTTTTGAAGAATTCAAAGCATTTATTTTAACCTGCTTGGGGCACCTGGTGGGTGGTGTGCATAAAATTGGAAACAAAATGAGAACAAGAAATTTCACATTCACAGAAAGGTATTTGAGAATTTTTAGTGATTAACTTCCCACTGGACAGTTTAATCTGTGCGTTCTGTCTTTGAAGCCAAATAAAGAAAATAAAGAGACACATTTATTACTGATGTAAAAAGTAATAAATGCCAACATCTCTCTTTCCCCGAGGGAGCCACACTTCCCTCAACATCCCTTCAACATTATAGTGCATTCATATATTTATAGAAGACTATATTTAGAATTGCGTACAGGGCAGGTAACACAGGACTCCATATGTTCTAAATGATGTGCTGCTGTGTGTGACGTCTATATTATAAAACTATATTAATCCCAAAGGAGATTAATCAAAGATTACAAAAATCTGGGTTTTATCACTTATGTAACGTTCCCTTTACATACGAAGAGGTTAACTGAAATAGTGTTGTTATTATTTCAAACCTCCCCAGGATGCAAAGAAGCTTGTGCAGGCTTTTACTACAAATATAAATGGATTACAGTCAGTTTGTCCTTGCGTAGCCTCCAGTTGGTTTTAAGGCTGATTTAAGATCCTGCTAATACTTCAGAAATCTTTTCATGGACTTGCTCCTGACTCTGTGGATGATGTGCTGCAAAGAAATGCTGCATCATCTCCTGGTAGAGCGCCTCTTATCAGACTCTCTGCCGCTCACTGTACTAAAAAAAGCTGCATTCTGCAGGTTTTGTTGTGAAACAGATTCTCCCGCCAGATCTGAGGATAACAATACTCAGCCTGGCTCACAACTAAAACTGCTATGTACACTTATGCTTCAAATTAAGATCCAATTTTTGATTATTTTAGTTGTTTTTTATGCATTTTTCCTGCTGAATGACTTCAAAGTAACTTATGAGCATCTCTGGTGAACACAAGATTTAAAGTGGTGCTTTTGTGTGATTCTTTGTGGAGGAACTCAGTTTTACTGATCTCATCAATTAGTCGGGCAGTCACTACAGAGTTAGTCGACTAAGAATTTCTTTGGACAGTCCTCGTCTTTAGATTGTACTTCTACAAGTTCATTAAGATATTTTGAGTTACAATGGAGGATCACACAAAGATGCTCTGTGCAGCGTTGCCAGCATGCAGACCATGTGATTCACAATCCTGCCACGCGTTTCGTGTTATTCCGCTAACCGTTGTTGGCAGTAGTGTGCAAAGAAATGCAGTAAATGAGCCGACAAAGCAATCATTGATGTAAACAATACAAGGTTTCAAATTGGCTTCGTGAATGTTTCATGAGGAAGGAAGTGCGTTGTCCGGCCTCAAGGACACACACAATGCATGTTGGTGAGTAACACTGAATATAAACATAACTTTGTCTTCAAGTAAACTCCACCGGGCAGTTTCAATGTGGATCACACATGTGGTAAAAGGGAGAGAGAAGACTTTTACTTACCCACTCAAATTTATCCTAATGATCCAGGAATCTCTCAGTCACAAGTTCACCTTCTCTGAAATCACTCCACACTACAAATTATTATCCCCAAAAATGTAAATCACAAGCGTGACGACATGGACGTGGAATCAAAGACATGTTTTCCCGCCCACAGAGAGTTGTAACACCGCCTCAGTCCACGCAAAGACATGACGGCGTCACACATCAAACTGACCAAAAGGCTGTTAAACGTGCATCACAGTAACAGTTTGGTAACAACTGTCGTGGTATTTCCCCACTCTGCTTCAGATGGCGAGGGCCTGGGCATCAGTATCATCGGGATGGGTGCCGGGGCCGACATGGGCCTGGAGAAGCTGGGCATCTTCGTCAAGACCGTCACGGATGGAGGAGCAGCACACAAGGATGGGAGGTAGGTTAACTCGTGTTAAATTGGATTATCCTGATTCTCCATCTGGTAAAGACAACTGAGAACGAAAAAGGCCGTCAAACTGCCTTTTAAACCATGTGTCAAACTGAGGTTAGCTTAGTAGTTGTAGTTTTATTTCCAGACGTGGTTGCTTCATTGTCCCACTTGTCTCTCTGATTCCTGGCAGCTGCATGTGGGTCTCGCTGCCAAGAACTCAGTCTTTTAAATGGAGTTTTTGCTTGTGTGGGCTTCAGTGAAAAAATGATGAGTGAAGTCCACAGCGGAGCTATTACTGTGAATCCTGAACGTCTCTCTTAACTGCCTCCTCCAGGATCCTGGTGAACGATCTGATCGTGGAGGTGGACGGGACCAGTTTGGTGGGAGTCACCCAGAACTTTGCCGCCTCCGTACTCAGGAACACCTCAGGAACTGTCAAGTAAGAGTTTCTCCGAAGAGTCGTGAATTTATTACAGATGCTTTGATGTGCTTTTATGCCGAGAAAAAAGCAGATCATCCGACATCAGTGTAGAGTTTAAAACCAGCACAGGAGCAAAGTCCTGCTGTGGATGGGGGCATCAGCAAAACCTATATTCGCACCCTAAATAAATCAGTTCATGTGTACGCTATATTTACAATACTTTCACGGCTTCACCGTACTGTCCGACAGCCTCCTCCTAATGGGAACTGAAGCCGTTATATCCATCTATGCTCTCTTCAAAGCCACAAGCCTCCATTGACAAAATCAGGAATTTTACCTCAAAGAACAAGGAAGTTTCTGGTTTAACGCTGCCACGATTAGTTAGTTAGTTTGTGGTGTTGTGTGACTTTGGTGAATGCAAACTAAGTCCTTCAAACACAATAAAACTAACTAGCTAACGGATCGAGGCGGCGGTAGACCAGCAATTCCTGTGTTTTTCAAGGAAAATGTACTGTTTTGTCAATGGAGTCTAGCGGCTTCAGTTCCTGTCAAATGCTAGCATGCTAACAGGCTTGTGAACATGGTAAAGATTACCTGCAACATGTTAGCATGTTAGCTAGCCAACGTTCTCTATCTCAAAGCCCTGCTGCGCTCTTCGTTAACGTATTTCTACAGTAGCCATCTCGCTTGGTGCCTCAGCTGTGATCAGGACATTCGTCTTGTTCCACTTTGTTGCAACAGCTCGCTGTGACATCAGCATTCTTGCTCGAAGAGATGGCTTCCTCTGGATAAACACCCACCACCGGTCTGGACCGATTTCTACCACATCCTGCCCATTCAGCTCACCAGACTGCAGATTTGTATCTCAAGTCTCGCGGGGTCATGATTATACCCTTCAGTGTTGCAAAGCTCCTCTCTGAGACATCCTGAACGAGGGTCCCTAGAACCACAGAAAACACAGTTATCAGGAACAAATACACTTCATCAAAAGTATCGTTCTGAAATGCCAGCGGGATGTTTGTAGCCGAGCTCTTTGGCGTTTTGGTGGAGCTGACTTGCCCCCTTTTGTAATCTAAGCTCATTCATAATTCAGGGTTTTGTGGTCAGTAGCTTTAAGGGTGATTGTTTGTGTTGTGTGACTTGTGAAGATCAGAGACCTCCACAGACAGCTCATGCATTATGGATCTGCTGCAGTGATGGTGAAGGGCACCAGAGCTCAGACCTATTCATTAAAAAAACAAAACATCAGGCAGACAAATAGATGGGGGGGCGGGGCAGGAAGTTCGTTTGTGAGCATTTAATTACCCGTTAGTGCCGCAGAATTGAAAAGGCTGCAGCGGCTGGCTTAATAACCGTCTGTGGCTTCATGGTGATTTACTGCGTTTTTATTCCCGTTCGCTGTAATTGGACGAAGATTTGTGAGCCTCGATCAAGAAACGTATAGTGCCTATAATGAACTGTACAATGAGCTGAAGGAGAGGCAGGGTTTGATTTTAATCATTGAAGAGAGGCCAACTCCACAGAGACCGCCTTTGTTCAGCTCCAAACAGGAAGACATGTTCTGTCATCAGAGAGCCAGCACATTCCTTACTACATTAATGCATTAAACTATACCAACTCAGGAGGTTTTATTGTATATGAAAAACACTTTCTTGGTCCGTGTGGAGCCGGTGTTCGTGCTCCTGAGTGGACGGGAGTAAAAAGAAATAAATGTATTATTTAGCATGCACATGCATAAATACCATATGACATGGAGGACTATTTCAGTTCAGCTAGCCACTTTGAGAGGTTTTAATCCTAACTGAGCTGGACTGCTGGTGTTGTCCAAACACAGGTTCGTGATCGGGCGAGAAAAGCCGGGCGAGCAGAGCGAGGTGGCCCAGCTCATCCAGCAGACGCTGGAGCAGGAGCGCTGGCAGAGGGAGATGATGGAGCAGCGCTACAACCAGTACATGGACGAGCAGGAGGTGAGCTTCTAAAGATCCCTCTGAAACAAGGAGGGCTGGTGTGATCTGACAGAACTGCTTGGTTTGTCTGCACATGCAGAAGTGCAACCAATTTTAAAGAAATTAAAATGTAATATATTATTTAGAGAGGATCCATTCCAGCGTGTCTGCAGGTCCTTAAAAAGTCTAAAATCGTCTTAAATTTCATTTAATATATATATTTGGCCTTGAAAGTCGTTAAATAATGAATAATAATTTAAGTTATTGCTTTATTATTTTCAACATGAACACTTTATCAAATTCCATGCATCTGTTTTTGTCAAAATTAGTCAAGTTCTCCTGCAGCAGAGTTAACGTATTACAATATATATATATATATATATATATATATATCAATTGCAAAATCGCGATGTGGAAGAAAAGTAATGGCTAGATTTACTACAGCAGCGCCTGGCTGTCTAAGCGAAAGGTAACTGTTTCTACCTAAAAGTGTCTGCTGTATGAGACCAAATGTGTTGTACTTACCGCGATGTTTACCTGCTCTGCTTATTTAAATATGAAAAAAGAGGATTTGTCTGAAAATAAGTCTTAAATTGAATTAAAACCTGTCTTAAAAAGGTGTTAAAAACGCATTAAACTTAATTCTCGGACACCTGTAGACTCCCTGCAATTCCTGTATTCGAAAAAAAAATATCTGAATGCATTCATTAACATTTAAAGTTATCAAAACAAAAACATCACAAAATGGCTTCAAATTTGATTTTCAACCTGCTCAGGCACAAAATACTTCCTCAAATATGAATCGTTTGCTCTGCGTGTCCTCGGTTCCCCTTTAGGATTATGAAATGTTTCCCATGCTAAACAGAAGTGACCCTCTCTGGTGTGACTGTGTCGTTGGAAGCCACACTATAGTGTCCAGCATGTACTGTCAGTCTGATCAAACGATAAGCTCGGCTCCGACAGGGGGACGGATCAGGAGGACTCAAATTTTGTTGCCCTCGGATGTCCTTTGCTTTGTTAATCTCTTATGTCTCTCTTTTTTAGTTTTACGTAAACAGAGCAGCAGAAACACCATAACAACTCCTGTACTTTCATTATCATAACAGAGAGGAAGTTGCCCCATTCATGCAGCGTGATGGTGGGTGGTTCTTGAAAAGCATTAGGTTGTGTAATGGCGAGCAGAGTCTGCTCTTGGGAGCTTTGCGTCATCTAGTGGCCGGTTGGTGTCACAGCATATAAACGTGGGCTTTTAAAGGCAGCATTCAATCACTATAGATATATGTAATCAACACTTTGTGATCCTGATTTATGTGACATTTTATCCAAATATTTATCAAACATGATAGATGTTTGAACAATTTGCCTTCCCAAAATGTAGCTTTCTCTCTTTAAATGATTCTGGTTTGCAACTTAAATGATCCCTTCACACGTGACGTCCTGCTGCTGCAACATTTGGACTCAAACCAGGAAGCAAGATGTGACTCTAAAGAGTCGGTTCGCTCTCGGTAGTTTGGGTGAACCGGCCCTTTTAAACTGAAATAAAAAGCTTGAACGGGTTTCCTAACCTGGACCTCGTCCCTGCAGGGCGGTGAGTACGGCACGGACGAGGAAGAGGACGAGGACGAGGAGGTCAGCCCGCCGTATCCCAGCGCCATCGAGGTGTTTGACCTGGCGGAGAACGAGGACATGTCCCCCCTGGAGACAGACCCTGAGAAACTGGCACATAAATACAAAGAGGTGAGAAGTGAACTCCTTTTCTGTGTAATCACAGCTTGTTTTTCTTAAATTAAAATCGTCATCTCTCTTTGCTGTAAAGCTCCAAATAAAGCATGCTGTGACCCAAGCTGAGATCCAACAGCTGAAGAGAAAGGTAGGTTTAAATGATCATATTTAATACTTATGCACCCTCTTGTGAGATGAAGCATCGATCATTTTAAGAGATTACGTTACCGTGCGACTTCACTGAAACGTCGCCCGTCTCTCCAGCTGCACCACGCGGAGCAGGAGAAGCAGCGCTGGCGTATGGACAAGGCCCAGCTGGAACAGACCCTGCAGGAGAACAAGGAGCGCATGGATAAGCTGGAGGGCTACTGGATGGAGGCTCAGAGCCTGTGCCAGGCGGTGGACGAGCACTTGAAGGAGACGCAGTCCCAGTATCAGGCCCTGGAGCGCAAGTACAGCAAAGCCAAACGCCTGATCAAGGAGTATCAGCAGAAGTGAGTCCGCATGAAGACGAGGGATGAAAGAGTTGTTTCATCACGTCCGAGTCGCTCAGTCTAAACACTCCGTTGTCCGTTAACAGGGAGATCGAGTACCTGAAGAAGGAGACCCAGCGCTGTGCACAAGTTGGAGCTGAGGCCTCTCTTCTCAAAGAGGAGTCCGGGCAACTTCAAGAGCAGGTACGGGAGGTGACCTAGAAAGAGAATTCAATTCCAGCGATAGCGAGGAAACCTCAAGAGGCCCATATTTAGTCAGCGTGTTGTGTCCTGACGTGACTCACTCTGCAGCATGTGGGTGGTGATGTTTGAATGAAGTGTGGATGTGCGGTTTGCCAACAATTTGAGGAAACTTCTCATCTACTTCTAATATCAGACGAGGCCTTTTGTTCCAGATCAAACCATATTACGAGTATTAACTCAACATCACTGCTTCTCCCTCTCTCCCTCCCTCTCTCTCTCTCTCCTGCAGGTGGCGGACCTGGAGTGCCGGGTGGAGGAGCTGAAATCTGAACCTTTATAAAAGTAAAAGCCTTTTTGTCCGTCACGCGTCTCAGAGAGCAGAACTTCACTAGCTACAGGAGGAGACGGTGTCATTGTACTTGACCTGCAGGGTATTTCCTCGTCGCCCCCGTGAGCTTGGTTTCCGGGCGCATACCGTATACGTGTCCTCAGGCTTCGTATTTCAGCCACTTTTAACCCCTTTTAACCATGTTTTTCTGTTACCATTTATGGGATTGTGAAGAACGGTTTTATCATCACAAATACAGACTCTGTTGAGCTCTAGATGTGCTGTTCCTTTTCAGTATTTAATCCCTTACTTTGTGGTTTTGTGACAGACCAGGATGTTACTTTTAATTGCCAAAAAAAAAAAAAAAGACCCCTTTCTTTCTTTCGCCTGGTTTTGTGACCTTTTCTTTTTTTTTGTACAGATGTGATACTGTGTGGTTTAACAATCAGTTTGGTTTGTAAAAATTTTTAATATGTGTATAACATTTAACATAATATAAACTAATGAGATAGAGGGTTGTTGTATATTTTATGTGATGTAAATTGGATGGAGATTGCACTGAAGAAGACACCAACAAGGTGCTTCACTGGAACGGAGGAAGAAACGGGAACTATATTTGGAGGTGTCTTCGAAATAGTAGAAACTGTAACCCAACCTTCGTAGGGGTCTTTGTCAATTAACCACCTGCTGCCTACCTTTCAGAAGTGTTTGTGTATTTTTTACACACTAAAGAGACTCTTCAATGAGCGTCCCAACCCCTCCGGTCTCAACCCCTCGCTTCTTTAAATAAAAAAAACAAAAAACAAAAACAGGACCACAGAAAACAAGCCTCCACAAATGAAAATGGATCTCTCCCCCCTCCAAATGGATGTTGTCAAGGACTTGTGTAACTGGTATTAGTTAGGACTACTGATATAAGAAACATTACTGGACCGAGATTGTTTAAAGAAGCCGTTACCAGCAGCAAATATTTTAAAACGCTTGTGTCTCGAACCAGCAGCTGCACTCGACACCGCTGTGTGTAGCACATGGAAAACACTGCCGGGTTCACGCCTGTTTCAATTCACGCACACAGTTTCAAATGGAATTGAGTCTCCTCGTGTCAACCGTCATACCAGTATGTTTGTATAGTTCAGGTAAGACTGAAATATTTTAATTTTACTTAATATTTATAATCTAGTCAAAAAAGGTAGAAATATGAGCTAACGAGGACAAAAAGTGACAGAAGCAATGTTCAGTAGACAGTTGTAACTGTGTAGATCTGGATGACTACAGAAACTAAATTAAGATTAATGAATTGACAAAAAAAAAAAACAGGCATGGTTATGAGTATTTTCATAATATTAAGGCTTGTACAGTGCACATGCTTTGCATTGTATGTTTTGTGGAATAAATGGTCAACAGTGAAGGTGAAGTTTGTGTTTTTATTTCAAAGTTAACATCGAGACAATAATCATTTGTTTAAGTGGCAAGCTGTCTTTTGTTAATGGAAGTGAATTAAGTATTGCGCTTTTAAATAACAAAAATGTATAATTCTTAACATAAAAATCCAAACTTTTGGTTATGAAACTCAAACTTAAGTTAAAATAACGAGCATTGGAAAAAAATTCTGTGCAACTCTACTCGACCTTCTAGTGCAACTGCAGCTCCTCTGCATCATTTCCCAAAGTCCTGAATAAGCGACTACAAGTGCATCTTCTGATGGTGCCTCCTGAGGTGATAGTTTCGGGAGAAGCTCTTGCCGCACTGGCTGCATTTGAACATCCTCTGTCCCAGGTGGAGCATCTGGTGGGCCTTGAGGCTCTGCGGGCGGCTGAAGCTCTTGCAGCACTCTTGGCAGCTGTAGGGCCTCACGCCCGTGTGCTTCCTCTCGTGCCGCTTCAGGTCGCCCGACTGCCGGAAACTCTCCCCGCAGTGCGTGCACAGGTACGGCTTCTCCCCGGTGTGAGTCCTGAGGTGCACGTTGAGCTGGCCGGTGTAGGAGAAGCTCTTGCTGCAGTGCGGGCACACGTACGGCTTCTCGCCCGTGTGAATGCGCTGGTGCTGCTTGAGGCCGTAGTGGTTGGTGAAGCCCTTCCCACAGTCGGTGCACAAGTACAGCATCTTCACCTGCTGGAAGCACGCGTGGGATTTAAACGCTTTGCTGCTCGCACAGCTCTTCCCGCAGTGGGGGCATACGTAGGTTTTCTCCCCTCCCTCTTCCTCCTCTTCCTCCTCCTCCAGGTGATCCACGAGGATGTCGGAGTCGCAGTGCGACAGGTACTCTACCGGGTGGTGCCTCTTGACGTGTTTGATGAGGTAGCTCTTCATGGTGAAGGAGAACTGACAAAAGGAGCACCGGAACAGCTCTGACGTGCAGTGATACTTCATGCAGGTGTTGCTCGTCCGATGCTGTTTGAGGTTGCCAGATGTGGAGAAGACCTTACCGCAGCGGTCACAGCTGTAAGAATTTGCGTCCTCGTGCACAGTCTGCTCGTGTCGTTTCAGGAAGCCGGACTTGCTGAAGGTCGCCCCGCACTGACCACACTTGAGCGGTTTCAAAGCGCACTTGTGCGCCTCGAGATCATCCGGGTTTCCGTACGTTTGTTTACAGCGATTACAGCTGAACCATTTGTATTTAGTCAACTTTCTGTTTGTCACAGCAGGCGCTTCTGTTTCGGCGGAGCTCCTCTCGAGGCCGGTCGACGGCTTCTTGCAGACGGCTGCCCTTCGTTTCGGGGCTATGAGCTTAGTTATGGCAGACATTTTAGACCCAGCTCCACGTCGCTGAGGCCTCTGAAGGCCTCTAACAGTTTCAGGCAGTGACGTCTGTGGGCTGAAGTCTGGATCGTGGCTCTGATCATCCTCTTGATGTTCCACCGGGTTGTCCTCTGAGTGATGCTCCGGTATGTGCTGCTGAAGAGCGTCCACTGAGGAAAACGTCAGTGCACACTCGGCACAGCTGAAGGGCATGGTGGTAGATTCCTCCGGGGCCTCGTTTACCTTCTTGCCCCTCTTGCTTTGCTTCTGGTGCCGCCTCAGATGCCGTGTCAGGTCGTTGTACTGGCCGAAGCACTTCTGGCACACGGTGCAGACGTAAGGACGGAGCCTCTCGTGGACAGTCGCCTTGTGCTTTCTCAGGGTCGCCTCATTTGTGAAGCTCTTGCCGCAGTCCGAACAACTGCATTGGGATGTTTCTGCCTCTCCAGCAGGAGTGTTCTCAGTTTCAGTTACATCCATTGCTTCTTGTACATTCTCGCTTTCACTCACACCCTTTGTTTCCTCCGCTACATCTGGATCTGCAGAAGTAAAAAGTTCTGATCTCAGCGTCAAGTTCTCGTTCGTCTCACTAAGGATTTTGCCCGGATCAGGAACAATGTTTGCGTCTTCTATCAAAGCGCGCTTCCTGTGAATCAGCTGGTGTCTGATTAAGCCGGACGCCTGGGTAAAGCTCCGCCTGCACTGCGAGCAGCAGTAGGGACGATTGTTTGAGTGGACGCAAAGCTTGTGCCTCCTGAGGTGAGGGATTTGCTTGAAAGTCTTTCCGCAATCGCCGCACGTCTTGGGCCTGACGGTGTCCACGGAAAACACCACCAGGGAGGCTGTAGCGAGAGCGGAGTCGGCGTCAGTTGTGCCGCCCCCTTCAGGCTGCATGTGGAAGCACTCCGTATGCCGCTGGAGGAAGGACTCCGTGGTGAAGGACAGCTGGCAGTGGGAGCACAGGAAGATCTGAGACGTCGCAGCTGTGTTACTCTCTACAATTTAGGAGAGAATGGGGAAAATTGCATCATTACATTGTAAGAATTCTTCAGTAGAATGTGATTTTTGTGACGGGGGATACTTAGGTTGTAAAGGCACCTGTTGCATTCAACTTCATCACCCACACCTGGCCCCAAGCTTCACTAAACTGGGCCAGAAACTTGGCGCTGGGCCACACCGCGAGCTCGTCTCCAGGGTGAATGGAGCGGCAGCAATGAAAGAGGATGCTGCCTTTGTACTGGACCACCAGCAAGTTGGTCTCGTCTTTGTTACGAGCACAGTTGACGTACCTGCGTAAGAAGAGAATATGATGAGCCATCATCTACAACATGAAGGGAGACACCGTGAGAAACAGACACAATAACAGAGTTCAATACATTACCTCATCCAGTTTGAGTGAGATTCTCTGGCTGCATCAATGTACTCATATTCGTCTTTTTCTTTGTAAATCTGCAGACAGAATATGCACATTTAACAATGAATAATAACCACAATCAGAAGTATTTAGAGAGGACAAGTCACATCCAATCTCACCTCCCAGGAGAAGTCGCTTGCCATGGCGTTTTCTCTCGTGGTCACTTCCCCCTCGTACGGTCCAAAATGCATTCCCGGCGACACCGTCGGCCCGTGATTTATGACCCCAACGCCCGCATTGGGAATACTAGATCTGCCTATCATCAGGCCGTAGGGGAGGGTGAGGAGGGCCCTCTGGGGGAGACCCGTGCTCGTCGGAAAGTCGAGAATGAAAGATGGGCCGGTGATGTTAGCGGGATCGCTCTGGTCCTGGAAGAGAGTCAGACACTCCTCACAGTCTGGAAAACAAAATGAAACAGTCATTCAACTTTAGGAACTTCTCATAAGAAGAGGGAAAGAGGAATAAAACAGCATTAATGCCATACGCTGGAATACTCCATGACATTTTGCTAATTTTCTGTCTTTTGATAATGTGAGAACGTTGTATTAATCCCCAATAATGCTGCGAATATAAGCAGAAGAGGAAAGAGTGTCTCTTGCTTACAAAAGCCATCACCAGCCTCTGGGTTATCTCCACGTCCCACAGTGTCCAGTAACTTCTGGATTGGCGTTTCTGCATGCTCCAAAACCGGTAACACTGAAAAAAAAGGCACCAATTAATTAAACTTACATAAGACAACAAGTCATATCACCAGTTTAAATGTCAATTAAATGTGTCATACCTGCAGGGGTGTTGTGTTCATGGGTCAGACACTCTGTTAAAACAACCTCCTCCGTGGTCTCGACCCACTCCACACTGGTGCCCCTGCCCGACATGAGTGCAGACTCTGCGGCCAGTTGATGGGAACTATGACTCTTTATGACAGATGTTCACACTAACACATACTACAACGCTGCAGCAACAGATAAGGCAGCTTACGTTAGCACGCTAGCTTAGCTTGCAAAACATCAGCGGGCATCCTGGTCCTGATAAGATTCAATGGAAAGAGTGCTGTCAAGGTATGGCTATAACATAGCATTAGCATGGCTAGCCAAGAGATAGTAGCTGCTATGTGGCTATCAGACTAGCATTTTAATACAAAGCAATGAATTCCCAATGTATACTTTCTACTTTAAACTATACTTCTGTACCTACTCGGATTCCCAACGGCTATATTCCTCAGTCTGTTTTAGCTGTTAGCTAACATATGACGTTAGACACCAGAAACAATCCTATCCGAGACCGGAAGCAGTTTACCCGGAAGCAAATAAATCCAACTTCCAGAATAAAGGTCGACATTCACGTACTTATAGTAGTAACGGTAAATCTAATTACCTCGGTGTTGTGTATCTACTACCCCAAACAGCAACATTTAGGACCCTTCTGTGGTGAAATTAGTGACAGATACCATCTGACTACAACTACCAACTCACTACATAAAGTCTGTGGTCTCAAGGTATTGCAGGGGCGCCGCTGGTGTAGTGGTATCATGCAAGATTCCCATTCTTGCGACCCGGGTTCGATTCCCGGGCGGCGCACTTGTTTTCCTGCCATCTGACACGATTCCGTATTATTAACATAAACTCTTAAACATTTACATCTACAGTTGTGATGTTAAATTTAAACAGCCTAGGACAGTTCGTACCATTTACATAATTTTGCGATAATTATGTGATATTATATTATTACATTTCACCTTACACTATATATTTTTATCCCATACAATACTGAGTACTGACTACACTATATTATGTTAATATGTTATACTATGTAATATAATAAAACAGTACATTAGTCAGGTGCAAGCTGTGTACGAATATACCAGACTTGCTGACTAGCTGCTATTAATCCTACCACTGTTTTAGCTTTGTCTTTAAATGCTCTTGTAGTTTCCACTTTGACTTCTTTTCTTATTCTACTTTTGACATATTTTTTTTTACAGAAACTTCACATAAAGTTTGGCGAAAGCAGGACAAAGGAGACATCCATTCACTCTTGGCGCGTGGAACCTGTTGCCGATGGTGTCCATAAAATAAAAAAAAATTAAAAAAACCTGTTGCCTCGCGACAACGCAGCCAACAGAACAAACTACGTATAGCATGGAGAAGAAGTCCTATAAGTGTGGTAGAAGTGTGTCTGCGTGCGAGCTGGACCGCAAAACGACGCACGGATGTCCCTACATGTGCGGGATGTGTCCAGTTTGCGCCTTTGCTCCGACACCACCGGCTTCTACCCGGTGTGTGTGGAAGGCGTCGGATGAATTCAAGAGGAGGTTCGTGGTGGAGCTGCTGTTGCGGTGCAGAAACAACAAAGTCCTCGAAGGCATCCACGGTGTGCTGTGCGTAACAACGTCGTGGACTTTATCCACTTACGCGAGGTCACGGAGCCCGACTTCGCCTAGGGATTACCCCCTCCGCGGTGCAGACCGTCCGCCGGACGGGAAACCACTCGGCATGGACCTGAATGAGGTCTGGGACTGGTTCAACAGCAGCCCCGACTGGATTCAATCACGTTATCTTTGCCGTTTGTTTTCCCTCTGCGACTCCGAACTATTACGCATGGTGACTAATTTAACCAGCGTGCTTCTGGTCAGACAAAAACGAGGGTTTCTGCAATCTAACGGTAAAAAAACAAAACACGTTTTACTTACTTATTTATTTCTAGAATAGACTCTTGTACTGCAATTCACAGTATTTACCGCTAGATGCCAGTAAAGGGCACAAACAGCTGCACAGACACATAATGTCATACATCTTTGCTCAATGACAATTTGCATGAATACGTCTTACCATATGGTGAATTTATGCTCATTTTCAGTGAGTAGTGTCAATACCAGTCAGCATGATGAGACAAGTGATGGAGACTCAGAGGACCCTGCTCTGATGGTGGTGCCCGGATCCTCGAAATCTGTGTCTGGAGTCAGCCGGCACAGAGACTTCATAGGCTGCCTACCGGTGGATCTGTCCAAGAGGATATTAGGTGAGTCAACACTCATGAAATGAAACGCAGTACTTGTGCAGACAGATTTTATATTCTTGATATATTTTAATTACTTTCAACGTTTTACATCATAGAATAATATTCATGTTGCAAATTAATTTATTAATGTGCACTTCTTCAGCGCTTCAGGTTGCTGATACACACAATCAAACAGTAGCAGAGTCCACTTCTCTCTGTCTTCAGGCTCAATCTGAAGTGTGTACCGCATTGACATGACCTTAAGCAGAGCCGGTCTGATGTTACTATGGGGATGCAACTTAATCACTCAAGAATGCTCTTGTTAAATCCACCACATCTAAGTGTGTAGCCCCTCGAATACGACAACAACAAAGCCTTGCCAAGCAACCGATTGGCTGTCCGCCGGTTAAAAATATGTATAATGACGTGCAAAGTGACGACAAGTAACGCAACATTTGGTATTTCTATAAATAACAAAAATCTATTTTTTTTTGTCTGTAAACTTGAACCACAAACGTGTCTTCTTCCAGGTCTGTTAGATGAGCACACTTTGAGACGCTGCCTGAAGGTTTGTGGATGCTGGAAGCTTCTCGCTCAGGAAACCGTGGAGGAAATCAAGTTCAGACGTCTTTTTCAGGAACAAATTAAGGCAACGATGAAGGTGGATCATTTAGGAATATGGGTATTTAAATCGTGCATTCAGGAGTTGTACATTTAAAAGTGTGCAAAGTTGCTGTAGTTTTTGGTGTGGCACATTTGTTTTCCTATGAAATGATTTAAAATAGAAATTTCATAATCAGTAATTACATCTTTCTGTTCTAGAGGTACAAAAGTATAAACAAAGTAAATCCTACTCTAAACCCTGCACATCGGAATGAAAACACGACTGACGTCATCGGGTTGTGTTTGGGTTCGACAGAGAAGACCCACATCGGGTGGTGGACTACAGAGGAGGACCGCTTATGGCGACGGGCTCCAAGGACCGCGTGGTGCGTCTGCTTCACGTGGCGTCGGAGACAAAAGTCGTGTCGGAGGTGATGGGCCACGTCGGCAGCATCCAGGCCACGCTGCTCTGCGAGGAAAGAGGCCTGCTGATAACGACGAGCTGGGATGTGAGTATCAGGTGAGGAGGAAACTGGATACTGATGATGATGATGATGGTGGGGGTACATTCCTCCTTGTGACTGGCTGGGTGTTTCATCACACCCGTAGGTGTTGGAGTTTGAAGACGGACAGGTGTGAGATGATGCTGTACGGTCACACTGGCTCCGTCAACTGTCTGGACGTCCACGCTGACAGACTCGTCTCCGGGGCTAAAGACTGTAAGGTCAAAGGTAAGCAGATTCAAAGCGACGCATGTCCATGTTCAGACTTTTGTCATTGGTCATCTTCAGAATAAATTCTGGCAATTCCAACACACCTACTGTTAATCACATGTTTTAATAGAGATAGAGTTATCTGGGTACAGTTTAATTGTACGTACTCATGCAGAAACAAAGGCTTCTTGTTGACACTATTGTTTAGAATTGCATTATTGTTGCTTTTTTAATTTCTTTTACATTTATCAAGTGGAGTCACGGACACAATATTATAATCAGGAGAAGAATCCGTATGATTTAACGTTTTAAAACTTTAAAGTTAACTTCTTTGTGTGTGCAAGTGAGCTTAATTTGAACTTCCACACTGCTAGTGTGGAGTCTAAACACAGGGAAGGATTTTGCGGATTTTCATTTCAAGCACCGCAGTCCCGTCCAGTGTGTGCGGATCAACAGGAGAACGGTGTACAGCAGCTGTGTCCGGGGCCTCGTCAGAGTGTGGGACATGGAGAACGCGTCGCTGCTCAGGGTGACAATTACGAGTCATTTGTGGAGAACAATAAATACATATTTACATAAAGTTTATCAAACGGTGTGTTGATAATACCTTTACTTTGGTTCATTTTGTTTTGCACTACTTTTCTGAAGGTGATCGATGCCCACAGGAGCTCAGTGAAGTGCCTGTTTGTCGACGAAAGGCACTTTTTATCCGGGGACTTCAGCGGTCAGGTCATGGCCTGGAGCGTCAGCTGCGACGCTAAAGAGTGTCTCATGACCTTCAACCACCCAAAGTAAGAAAGACACTTGCAATTTATTATTTGATTAGATCTACTGGGGGCAAAATATGGAAAAAGGCGGAGTTTTGTATTAATGAGGTTGATCCAACCTTGCAAAATGAAGCGGTGGTTCCTTGACAAAAAATTTTGTAGAATTTCCCTACCTTATTGCCTGTTCCTGACAGTGTTAGCTGTTAGTAACTGATATAAATATTCTCACTATATTTAATACCTGTTCTAATAACTCTAAATGTTGACTTTCCTGCAGCGAGGTGAAATCTCTGACTCTTGTTTACCTCCGTGTCATTACTGGCTGTGTGGATGGAAAGATTCGCATTTTTAATTTCCTCACCGGAGATTGTCTGAGAGACATCACGGTAGAGGCTGAAACAGGCTGAATACTGTCTCTGCACTTCCATGACAACCGGTGAGTCATTTCTTTATCATTGTAACATCTTCACTCGTGTGGTGTCCGGGAGTTCAAATACATTTGTCTCACATAATATCTTGTCTACGCCGTCCTTTAGTATACTAGTGAACGCGCCGTCCAGTGTGAAGCTCTACCAGTTTGCCAAAGTGTTCTGGGATTACACAGAGCCACCAGAGGGAGGCCAGGGCGATGTGGAGGCTCAGGTCGGTTCGGTTCCTGAGGGTTCCTTCGTCTCCGTCCGGGCCGATCGCAGCCAAAAGATGCACTGTAGCTATGACAAGAAACCAGAGGGAGCCGAGCCGCACTACCACACCTGCTTGCAAGGTAAGCATGCTTCAGAAATAGAGGAAATATGTGTTAAGATCAGCTGTTATAAGTGAAACTTTCCCTTGGTAGCCAGAGAGCGCTGTGAGTCTGCTAAACTGTCACTGATGCTGAGTGAGAAGGCAACGAGTGAGCGGATGACGAGGAGGGGGCTTCATCGTCCCCCGACATGCGACTCCATCCTCCTCCGGGTCAACGCCATGCAGAAGGCGCGGTGCACGGACGAAGCCGGCGTCAACATGGAGCGAAACGCCGGGCTGCGAGACTCCTGGGGCCCTCGCTCGTCTCAGGATCCTCTGCAGACTCGGACGTGGATCACACGTGATGTTCATCCCACAAGGGCCAAGACCCGCGTTCCAATTTTAAAGAGAGATGCCGGTCAAAATATGACAAAAGCGATCAAAGGGAAAGACGTCCGCACGGCCCCCCGACGCCACGACGAGACGCCATTTTTGAGCAATCGAGAGAGTGAGCGGATTCACTGCAGGGGCCTCAGAGGGGCCACGGGCTCCTGAGTGCGCGCTCATGAGGCCGCCGCATGATCCAGAACGCTGCGTGAAAACTGGCAGCAGCAGCTTGCCCAGGATCAGCCCAGTGGGTCCGTTTAGAGAGCACAGAGGACTCTGGCTGCTCACAGGGACCCAGCTGGAAGAGTGTTGGGTCAACAAGGATCTCACGCAGGACTGGGCGCAAAAACTGTCCACGAGGAATAAGAAGCAGGAGAAAAAAACGTGAAGAAATTCACATTTATTCTACTTTTATGATATAATTTGTCAGCAGAACTCTATCTTTATTGCTTAGTGGGTGTTCAGGACGTCTTTGTTTCTCTAAGGAACGTATGTTTAAATGTGGTGTTTCATTAAACCTCCACTAGGGGTCAGTATTGTATCATCTGATTGTGGCTGGACCAGGACCCGGGATTATGATACAGTAGTTTTGCAGTATGCTTTAGATTTAATTTGATGTTATTTAGAATCAATGCATTTGTAGTTTCATTATCTAACAGTGGTACATTTGTATTTTTAAGATTTCTTTTTTCATTTAGCATTCAGCTAAATTACATTTATATATTTCCTTAATGTTAATAAAGGGAGGGAGAAGCAGTTTTTTGTCGTGTCTTTTACATATTTTAGGTAGTTTGCATCCATAGTTTGATTGTAATGAAACTTGTAAAATAAAAAGTAGTATTTTCACATTTTAAACACTTGAATGTGACTTTTTCCCCAATAGTATTCATTCTCTTTTGTGATTAACTCTACAAAAATGCCTCTTCAAGATTCCAACAGTTATAATAATCAGTGCCGGCCACTTCACATCTGCTGTTTGTGTTTACGTTTTTTCGGTAGGGAGACTATTCTCATTTACCAATTTTACCTGAAAAAACCCTCCCCAACCAAGCAACAACAAATCTCTGTGGATTTTTTTTTTTTTTTATGCGTCTGCAGAACTTCAAACAAGATTTGTGAAGTCATCAGAGTAAGCAGAGTTTGTCCCATCCAGAGAGACCTTTCTCCCCCCCTGCCACCTGCCCTCCAGCCCCGCTGCCTCGGGGGCATCATTAGGGGCGAGGAGGTTGAAGATCAGCGAGAAGGACCTCTGCTTTGACAGCAGCAGCACAACAGCTGGGCACCCGTGAATAACAAAGGCTCATGAGGAGAACTGACCGGCTAAGACGTCCCACTTTTGGAGAATCTCTTCTTTCGGGAGCGTTCTGCTGCTAATTAATTTGGTCTGCAGGAAAAGAAACTGGGGATAATGGCGTCACCCCCTTTTTTTTCCTCCCGTGGTAGTGTGACGTAGGCAGACAATGCAATCCCCTCCTGCCACCCCGAGCTCGGCTTAGCTTCATCATGCAGCACAGCTCCCCCCATTGTTCCATCAGGTATGGAGTCTCTTGTCCAGGACCGGCAGAGCTGCGGGGGGGCATAATGAGCGTAAAATCAAAGCAAAGTAAGAAAAGGGAAAGTCTTCATGGAGGAATGCTCTTAGACCTTCTGCTCCCTCGAGCAGGCCCGAGGGTTGGCTGTGGAGAGGAGGGTCCAGGTTTATGTATGCACGGGGAGAAGCTTGAAAGAAACGACGGTTAACCCTCTCGCTGTGAACTGAGGTCTTTAAGGGTCTCAGTATGACCCGGCTGACCTTTTGCCCCACATCGATCTCCATCTCCAAAGGCGCATATTTGCATCATAGTTCATTTAATTTTTACATCTGTGTCATGCTGTGTCAGCAGCAGGTTAAAACTCATAACTCGATTTAAAAAAAACCTCTTTCCAGACCAGGTCAGTCATGGTAGAGAAAGTGATTAACCAAATCACGATCTGCATTATTTATTTATTTTTTGTTGGTATTTGCATGTCACTCAGACGGGTGCTGACTTGCCCTGGAGCTGTCCAGATATCACACCGTTACCAGGTTTAACGAGAGCCGCATCAGATGCAAAAAAGCTCATTCTCGCGGGGGACCGACTCACGGTGACTAAATCTCCCCTTTGTGAAAAGAAACCTACTCTGGACATTTGTTCTGACAGGCAGCCATAAGCACTGCTCTCTATCCTGGAGACTGCAGGGGAGCTGAAGCTCACACCGCTCACGATGGACCACTCCAAGGCCCAGACGGAGCTGTGACATCAACACATGGGAGTGACGACAAGCGCCTTGATCTCAGGACAGCTTTAAAAACGCCAGGCCGCACGGCCAGCGCTGTTTCCAAACATCCCCAATTAGGATTCAGTAACGAGATCCATATGCCTTTCTGACCTCATTTGCAGATAGCGATCATAAGCGAAAGGGGATACGGCCAGAACGAAAGGGAGGCAATTAACGGGAACACCATTACCGAGATATGGGGCTGATTAACGTCCACAACAGGCCGTGCCAAATAGATAAGAGAGAATCTGATTGCTCTTTGATTGGATCTCGGCGGTGCCTCTGCGGCCGAGCAGGTTTCTCGTTTTTTGGGGGGAGTTGGACCACGCTGCGTTCAAGGGTCCCCTGATTGAGCCAAGAAGAGCGCAGTGAAACCACTGTGACCACACATCAGGAAGAGGATAAAAGAGGCTACTGCTGGCTCCTCGTGTACATGACTTAACCCCCCCCAACAGATGAGTGTGCTAAGTTGTTGCTCACAGATGGCTCAGTGCTAACACGTGTCAAGAAAGCGCTGAGATGTGCTGCAGAGGTGACACCCGAATTAGCTAAATGCTAAATGCTTCGTTCCATACAAAGAGCCCTTGTGCAACTGTAAAGGTACCAAGATCTTTCTTTTTGATTTTGTTTGTGCTTATTTCATTAAGATGAAACTTTTTCTTTAATTTACGAGTTGACTGATTGTTCCATCTGTTTTAGCAGCGCGACATCTGGAATGTGTTTTGATAATTGCAAAGAGATTGTTTTCTACCTGCAAGAGCTATTCTATACAAAAGACCTACACAAAAACAAAATCAAACACGACCAGTGCTTTACCACCAGAGGCTATATGGCATATATTACAATGGAAGTTGGATGAGCCATCTGATCCTTTAGTACTTATCCTCTGGGGGGCCCACTAGACCTGTTCATGGACCCGGTCAGTGGCTAGTCCTCAATGTTTCAGCCAATCATTGGTGCTTTGGCAGTCTAAAAGCCTGTGTGTTTGTTTTAACAGATTTTATAAAGATGTGTGACCTCTCCTTATTTTGAAATCATTTTGGTGTAAATTGCACATAAAATCACACTTTATATCACTGCAATTAAATGCTCATTAAAGTAAAAAGAGCACATTTTCAATGCAGTCTGACACTCCTTTAATGACAGGCTTTACAATCCATTCGAATGTGGTATTTATTAGGTTTTCATGGCGCGTCAGTGTGAATGTGTTTCAGTGCGTCACTATTAAACAAGAGAGAAGGGTGTCATGGATTGACCCGTCGTCTCAATGGGCCCCAGTCTTCACAGAGCAGCTCCAGACACATGCAGGCGACAGCGTTAAGTGTCATAATTTCACTGTTTTCTCGGACATAAATACGGAGACGTAAGAGTCAAAGGTCAGCTGCATAAAACTTCCCTATTTAGAGGTCAGGAGACGCATATCGTCTTAGGGGGGGGGGGGGGGGGCACCTTGGAACAAGAAGGCAATTCACGGGCGAGCAGTTACGGCAAAAACGGCATCTGACTCTACTTCCTGCCACAAAACGAACAGAAAATGAATTGTAACACTGGACTACAAAGGTCTTCATGCACCACAGAAGAAGAACAAAACACTTAAGTGGGTCCAGAGCTGCAGCACATGATTAGAGGCCTTGTGCTGGATTGTACTTCACTGAAGAGGCCTCTTTCTACTAACAATAATCTTTGTCACCTACAGTAAATGGTTACTGGCAACAATACCAGTAAACACAAGGGTTCCTATCGAAAGATAAGCAACACATGGACAGTGCTGGAGAGGGTTCGGGAGAGCACATGGACATCTTTATCGGTGCTTCTCCTCATAGTTTAAACACTTAATCACAGTCCGACTAACTATTTAGGTGCTCGCTCATGTCGAGTACAGATGTTTACTCTCCTCTGGATCTTGATACCAGCGGAGCTCTCGCTGTTTGGAGAGGTCACCTGATAAGAAGGGTCGCTTGTGGGCCAAGCAACTGCACTATACCGACACGTGCAGAATCTCAGCTGCGTTTTGATTCCGAAATGGGTCCCGTTTTTTTTTTGTTGAAAAGTGAGTCATTCCGTTTGCATTAATCAAGAAGCTGCAGTGCGGGATGAACTGCTGCCCTTGCATGATAATCCTGATGGATGTGGCGCACTTTAGTCTCCCCTCAGGAGGCTATCGTTCCATTTCTTCAAACTTTCTACCTCACACCGTCTTTCTTTAACCCTCCCCTGTAACAGTCACAACAAATGCCCTTTTCCAGACACGATAACTCGACTGCTGTTTGTACAGTAAATACTGTGTGGGACCCTTGCTCTCTCCTCGCTTGACCCTGGCCCAGGAAGAGCCTTTTTTGTTGGGCCGAGGAGAACCAACAGGTGTCCAAGCTTAGATTTTCACAGCTCAGCAGGTTCCCGCGCATGTTGATACAAGTGCTGGGAAATAACACACAGCCTGGTTGATTCATGCCATTTGTGTTTTTCATTTAGTTGTCATGTGCGGGATCTTTTTTTAGAGGACGAGGGGATAAAACCGACCCATATTAGCAGCAGATGTTTTGGGTCACGGAGCGGATTGTCTTATGTGCTTTTCCCAGGGGCTCGTGCGGTGAGAGGAGCATCAGTCATGGACACCAGAGGGGTAGCTGCAGGAGGAAGATGAGCGTTTCTTTTTTGCAGCCTGAAGGTAGTGGTTTGTTACTGGAAAGGAGCCAGTTTAAACTCCTGAACCAGTCGATAATCTGGAGGGGGGAGAATGGTTCCTTCATCAGCAGCTGTCTCCGTACGCAGCAGAGATTCGCGGCTGCAACACATTGCAGACCTCGAGCCGAAACATCAACCGTCATTGGCTTTAATTCAAACTGATTTTGCTGGTTTGTTTTTGTCACTTTAGTCTTCACTTTTTGTTGAGGGAACCAGAGCGATGTTCACTTCTGGGTTGGCCTACAAACACACGTCATCCCCGCTGATCTCTGTATCTTAAGGACGGTTGTGTTTTGTGCTTTTATTAATACTATTTACCTACTTCTACAGTACAAGTAGACAAGCCAGAGACGCTACTGACAACTAGCCCTCTCCGTTAGTCACGTGTTACAGAGTCACCTGCTG